GAGACAAGGTCTTGCTCTGTCTCCTGGGCTAGAGTGCAGTGGTATCAGCAGAGTTCACTGCAACCTCAAATTCCTAGATTGAGCAATCCTCCTGCCTCAACCTCCTAAGTAGCTGGGACTACAGGTGCACACCATCACACCTGGCTAATTTTTCTATTTTTTGTAGAGATGGGATCTCACTCTTGCTCAGGCTGATCTCGAACTCCTGGCCTCAAGCAATCCTTCTACCTCAGCGTTCCAAAGTGCTGGGATTACAGGTGTAAACTACCATGATCAGCCTTAGAATTCCTTAAGATAGATTAAAATTATTTACAAATTATACAAACATTAATTTTGTTTTTTGAGTTTGAGCACTTAGCATTTTTTCTTCATTTATTTTAAAAGACATATCTTACCTCGTCTGATTAATTCTTTTCCTTCATCAACTAAGTCTGATGTCATATCATTATCGCCCATAAACTGCTGGAAACCAAGCAAATTCAAACAACGGGTTCCCAAACTAAAGAAAAGTAGATTTTCAAGAAAACAAGTATTATTTCACATTATAAATATTTAGATAAATTGTTCTTTAATGTTGTCATCCCCAAAGAAGCCTATGCTTGATTATCAGTTATGATGGCAAGTTACATATAGTTATAACTGTTGTTCTTCTTCAAGAAGTACTACTTATTTCCCTTTCTAAGACGTTTATGCCCAGTACGTTACTGACTAGGGTATGCACGATATCCAGATTTCCTACGGAAGTTAAAGGAGCTCAGGAAATTTCACCCCAATATATGACTCCTTAGTATAAAGAGTATTTTAAATTAAAGGCCCTTAGAGATCAATAGACACTGGAAGAGGCTTTCCTCTATCTTCATAAAACCAGACCCACTAAAAAGAACAATTGACTTCCCTTCCCCTCCCTGATATCTCAATATATTGCAGGAAAGAAGATCAAGAATACAATCGGACCTGGCCCAATCCATTTTAAAAATAATACCTGTCTCTCAGGTTAATTTAATTTCCGAAGAGAATCATTTACAAGTCAATCTGTTTCCCTCATCCATTCATTCTCCCAAGTATCTATTCACCCTCCCTAGTAACCATTTATTCCTCCTAAACAGAATTACCTATATTCCTCATCTCCACTCCCCCATCTAAAATGAGAGTATATAAATTTCTGGACCCCATTGGGATATTGGGTTATCACTCTGTGATTCGCCCTGTGCACACGGTAAATAAATCTTTTTCTCTTATTAATCTGTCTTATTGTGAGTTGATCTTTCAGCAAACCTTCTGGGGGCAAAGGGGAAGCTTCCCTTCTCCCCAACAAAATAAAAAGTCAGGTCATTAGCATACATAGCCTCCAGAAAACAATTATACAAGGATGCTAAATAATAACTGTAAGAGCAACTTATTCTTTTTTTATATCTGAATAGTAGTTTTGATACTGAAATATACATTTAAAACCAGTATTTCCAAGTGTGGAATATTCTGGTTTAGAAAGTCTTAATTGTGCAAATTTATTTTCATACTCTATTTTTTCCCTGAGAACTAGTCAACTCTATTTAAATACCTTTTGTTACACACTGTAAAGTGATGACTATAATCTTATGTAGGGCCTATTACCTTATATCTTATTTGCTATTTACTTTAAACCTGATTATTGTGTAGGATAAGAATAGTCTGAAAATACGGAACACAAGGAAGGAAGTGATAGATGAATAGGTAGGATTAATATTTGTTAAGATCCTACTATGTATCACCAAGCAGCTCTTTTTATTACATTAGTTCTCAAACTCTTTCAATGATATAATTCTAATGGCAGAAGCCTGAACACATGCATGGAAATGGAGGCAAAGGAAGAGGAAGAAAGGGGAAAAGAAGGGAAAAGGGGTTGAGAGAGAGGCAATGAGTGTATGTCAGGAAGGAAAAACAAGAAGGCAATTAAAAGAAAGTGAAGATCTCCATTTTACATTAATAATGTGTAAATATCTGGCTACTCATAATACACCTACTTGTTTCAATATAAAAGGGATGTTTTATGCAAACTACCATTGAGTAAAACTGGGGTTTCAGGTAGATGATTATGTTAATTCTGTGACCTTAAACAATCCCTCACTGTCCTCGTATCTTTGTGGGAATACTAGACTCCAGGATGAGAAACTCTGAACTAGTTCACTTACTCTGGAAAGGTGTTATCTTTGTCTAAAGTGTCAGGAACCAACCTATGCTCTCTTGGCAGATAAGTCTGAACATTAGCTCTGAGTATGGCCATGTTGCTAACAGACCGGGAATTAGACTAATTATGGCAGCATTTCAAATGAAAATGGACCTAGAAAGTCAAGCTACCATCGCAATGTCAATAAGGCATTGCTTCATATATTTCTAAAAGAATATTTATTATGTGAAATAATTTGAAAATTAAGGAATACAACCCTTTCTTACTAAAGATAAAATGGCACCCAAAGTTTATCCTAATTAACTCTAGATACATTTTTAATGAATATTTTTAAGTTTAACCATTTCTCTTTAAGGCATAATGATTCCTTATATTTAAGATTTTATAGTTGTCAAAGCACTATCCTACCCCATGTCACTTGATCCATATAACCATCTGATATGGTAGGAAGAAATGTTAATCTTCCAACATAACTAATAACATAAAAACACATCATTTGTATAGCACGAGCCCTTAATTTTCCATTAGTAGCTTTATAAACTCTTAAAATGAATAAACATATAATCAAAACTTAGCTTTGGGCATACGAAGTATGATTAGTCTCTTCTTTTAATACATCATTTTTACACTATAAATCTGTTACTCTCTTTTCCACATTAAAGAAAACACTCACAGTACTAGATTTGCTATCAGTTCCCATTACAATATCATTTTAAGTTATAATCTTTTGGCCATTTTGCTTATGCAAAGGTTAAATATATTTTTCAAAATTCAATAGAAAATTTACTTTAAACAATATCTGTTTACTCACTACCTTAATGTTAATACATATCATTTGTAATAACTATACAATGGTATTGGAAGATTTAAGCAAAAACTAGGTAGATGAAACTTATTTCTGTTAGGAATGTAAATGATTAACATTAAAAAAAAGTTTCTGGAGACTTCTGGTTCCAAAATGGCAGCACAGAGGCAAGCTGGCTTCACTCCTCCCCAGAGAAAAATAAAACCAAATGTACAGCAATGAGATCTATACCACCAACAATACAGAGCTCAAGTACGAGGATGAGACAGCTCCGCAGGGCCAAGGAGCAGTGGAAAAACTCCAAGGAGATGGTAAGAGAATCAGAATTCAACATCTGTGACACCATGCTCCCCCATTCTGCCCGCCACCAAGCACATGGAATATCTCCCCGCAACTCACAGTTTCTACAATGGAAAAAGTGAAATTGAGGTGGTTGATCTGCTTCCCCACCTTCTTGCATTCGCTGGCAGAAGACCTGCCCTAGGCTTAACCCACAGGAAGCACTGTGACTGCCTAAAGGGAGAAATATCCCTAAGGATAGGCAGAGACATATAGGAGAGGTGGGACTACCATCCCTAGCCCCAGAAACTGCTCTGTGACTTGGCCAAAGGAGAAGATAAATCAGAGTGTCTATTCAGCAGCACCATGCTGTAGAAGGTTCATTCCCCAGGTTCCCTGGACTTTCCCACACTGTGAGAATAATTTCTGTGGGAACTCTGCCTGTGGAAAGGCAGTGCTCAAATGACTTACTGGAGCAGAGGCAAACCTGGGCTTAAGGCACCATGTAGAGAGCCTAAAAAGAGGCAGTGACCTACCAGTGAAGATTTGCTAAGAAAATACATTCAGTAAAAACCAAAACAAGCCAGAGAGAGAAAATAGGAATAAGTAATCCTTCAATGCAAAGATACAGACATATAAACACAAGAAACAACAGCAAATAGAGAACCATGACATTCCCAGAAGAACAAAGCAAAAATCTGGTGACTGACCCTAACGAGATGGCAGTTTGTGAGCTCTCTGACCAATAATTCAAAATAGCAGGTGGTTTAAGAAACTTAAATGGAAAAGGAACTTAAAAGAAACTTAACTTAAAACTTAAAAGGAAACTCAAACTCAATGATCTCCAAGATAACACAGAAAAACAATTCTGAAATTTGTCACAGAAATTTAACTAAGAGATTGAAATACTAAAAAATCAAACAGAAATCTTGGAACTGAGGAATACATTTGAAGAACTCTTCAGAGGCTCTCAACAGCAGAATAAACCAAGCAGAGGAAAGAATTGGCAAGCTCAAAGACTGGCTATTTGAAAATGCAGTCAGAGGAGAAAAAAGAAGGGGAAAAAAAAGGAATAAAGATCACCTACAAGATATAGAAGATTACCTCAAAAGAACAAATCTAAGGATTATTGGTGTTCAAGAGGGAGGTGAGCAAGAGCAAGGGGTTGAAAGCCTATTCTAAGAAATAATAGCAGAAAACTTCCCAAAACTTAAGAAAGATATAAATAGCCAGGTATGGGAAGGTCTTAGAACACCAAACAGATTCAACCCAAATAAGACTACCCCCCAAGGTAAAAAAAATTGAAGAGGAGAGAATGCTTCCAAACTCATTGTACGAGGCCAGCATTACCTTGGTACCAAAGCCAGACAAAGAAACAACAAGAAAATAAAACTACAGGCCAATATCAATGACAAACATACATGCAAAAATCTCCAACAAAATATTAGCAAACTAAATTCAACAACACGTTAAAAAGATTATTCACCATGATCAAGTGGGATTCATTCCAGGTATGTAAGGATGGTTCAACATACACAAAAACAATAAACATGCTATATTACATTAGCAGAACCCAAAACAAAAACTATATGACCATTTCAATAGATGCTGAAAAAGCATTTGACAAAACTCAACATTCCTTTATGATAAAAACCCTCAAAAATTTTGAGGTGTGTAGAGAAGTAACACACCTCAAAACAATAAAGGCCACATATGAGAAACCCACAGCTAACTTCATATTGAACAGAGAAAAACTGAAAGCCTTTCCTCTAAGATCTGGAACAAGACAAAGATGCCCACTTCCCCCACTTTTATTCAACATAATACTGGAAATCCTTGAGCAATTAGGCAAGAGAAAAAACTAAAGGGCATCTAAATTGGAAAGGAAGAAGTAAAATTATCCTTGTTTGCAGATGACATGATCTTATGCATAGAAAAACCTAGAGACTCCACCAAAAAACTGTTGGAACTGATAAAAGAATTCAGCAAAGCTGCAGGATACAAAATCAACACACAAAAATCACTAGCATTTATATATGCCAATAGTGAACCATCTGAAAAAGAAAGCAAGAAAGCAATCTCATTTACAATAGCTATAAAAAATATAAAATACTTAGGAATCAATTTAACCAAAGAAATAAAAGATAGATACAAGGAAAACTATAAAACATCAATTAAAAAAACTGAAGAGGACACAAAAAAATGGAAAGATATTCCATGCTCATGGACTGGAAGAATTATATTGTTAAAATGACAATGCTACCCAAATCAATTTACAGATTCAATGCAATCCCTATCAAAATACCAATAACATTTTTCACAGAAATGGAAAAAACAATTCTAAAATGTATATGAAACCACAAAAGACCCCAAATAGCCAAAGCGATCCTGAGCAAAAAGAACAAAGTTGGAAGCATCATACTACCTAACTTCAAAATATACTACAAAGCTATAGTAACCAAATAAGCATGGTACTGGCATAAAAACAGACATATAGACCAATGGAACAGAAAAGAGAACCTAGATATCAATCCACACATTTACAGGCAACTGATTTTTGACAAAGGCACCAAGAATATACAATGGGGAAGGATAGTCTCTTCGATAAATGGTGCTTAGAAAACTGGATAACCATCTACAGAAGAATGAAACTAGACCCCTCTCTCTGACCATATACAAAACTCAAATCAAACTGAATTAAAGACATAAATCTAAGACCTCAAACTATGAAACCACTAGAAGAAAACATTGAAGAATTGCACCAGGACATTGGTGGGGGAAAGATTTTTTGTGTAAGACCTCAAAAGGCATAGGCGACCAAGGCAAAAATAGACAAATGGGATTGCATCAAGCTAAAAAGCTTCTGCAGAGCAAAGGAAACAAGCAACAAAGTGAAGAGACAACCCACAGAATGGAAGACAATACGTGCAAACTATGCATCTGACAAGAAATTAATAATCAAAATATAAAAGGAGCTCAAACAACTCAATAGCAAAAAAACAAATAATTCAATTAAAAAGTAGGTAAGAGATCTGAATAGACATTTCTCCAAATAAGACACACAAATGGCCAACAGGTATATGAAGAAATGCTCAACATCATTAATCATCAGGAAAGTGCGAATCAAAATTATAATGATACATCTTACCCCAGTTAAAATGGCTTTTTATCAAAAAGACAGACAGTAATAGATGCTGGTGAATATGTGGAGAAAGGGGAACCTTTGTATACTGTCGGTGGGAATATAAATTACTACAGCTACTATGGAGAACTGTATGGAGGGTCATCAAACAACTGAAAATAGAACTACCATGTGATCCAGCAAATTCTGCTATTCAACATATATTCAAAAGAAAGGAAATCAATATATAGAAACGGTATCTGCTAGCTCGTGTTCACTGCAGCACCATTCACAACAGCCAAAATTGGAATTAA